TCTCAGCATTGTAACTCAATCTTTCAATTACTCAGCCCCTTGATGTCTTTCTGCTGATTTTTTTTTTTTTTTTTTTTTTTTGCCTTTCTCTACCAAGTTCCTGATCCTTTACCCTTACTTTAGAAACCTATTTTTTTTACACTCCCTTGTCCCAGCAGAGGCGAGAGATATTTAATGAGAAAGGGCTTACTTTCCCAAGCAAATAGCTGGGGAAAAAAAAAAAAAAAAAAAAAAAAAAAAGATGCCAAGATAAAAAAAGGATAAGAGTGTCTTTTGTCCTATTGATATGTGGTATAATTCCCATTAATGTTAATCTTAAAGAGCGGGGCCAGCAGAGACTACTTGAATCGTGTCTATCTAAAGAAATTGTCCGTATAGTTTAAACTCTTACTTCTTTAACTCATGGCCATTGTGTCTCCTGCTACCACCCATGGGAAAGGGAAAAATCCCCACCTTAGTTTCTTTGTTACCTTCAAGAGTTTAAAAGAATACTTACACAAAGATAGCAATCCTCTGTCATTCTGCAAAGAGACCGCATCAGCTCTCCATCCGCCTGTGAGTCAGGGGGAGCCGGGGGTGTCCAGCTTCCCAGAGAAGCATCAAGCTTTTATTCACATGCCCAAATTACAGCAATGCAGCTTTCCAAAATTACCCAAGAGGTTCCTCTGGTGGAACGCGCATCCTGCTGTTATCAGCCCCAGTTTCAGTTCTGGTTGCAGATGCTCCAGCTCTGGTCGCAGAGGGTTTTCATCAAGAGACGTAGCTGCTCTGTCAAGGTTATCTCAAAATTTGATCTCAGGTCAATTTACTGCTTCCTCTAAGCACACAGTGAAAATAATAAACACATTGCTTTGTATGATATCCCTGTGTCACACCAGACCTAACGCCACTCGCCATCCACAGATATCTTCATTTAGTTATTACCTTCTCTTCTCTGCTGGACTAAATCTGAAGACTTGAATGTGCAAACAGAGAGCAGGACAAACACAGACACATCTAAGCAGTCAACAAATACAAGGAGGGCTACCAAGATTTGCTGACAGCACTGAGCAAACATCTGATGTTATGATGCTGCTGCAGTAAGGCATGAGGATCAAATTCCTCTTGAAATATGAAAGGATAGAGACAAGGCAGAACAAACTGTTGAAATCTCAGAGAATTTACGTAAACAGGTTAATCATGCCAGCTGAAGGCTGGTGTGAACGGAATGATCCGAGGAGAAATATCTCTGCAAGTCATCATGCTGGTGTCCAGCCCCAACCTCCTACTGTCACAAAGACAGTCCATGAGTGATACCAGTGGGCTGTGCACAGCAATGGGCATCAAAGCAAACTCCTGCCTTCAGGAGCATATATGGTGCTACACTGTCTGTATACACAGTACAGACACACTGTTTAAACCACAGTATCTTCAAAACCTTCCTGTTATTTCCACTTTTTGTTTGTGCATCAGCAGTGTCTCTATTTAAAAGCCCCATCAGCTATTCAGCTTGACTCCATCTAGTCCTGTATTATTTTATCCATCTGATAGAACTGCCATAGCTAACATCTCCCTCGATCACACCAACTCAGAAGAACAACTGCTAAAAAATTATTTACACTCAGTGGATGGAATCATCTGACACTAAATATGAAGCTCATTAAACAGCTCCTTGACAAATATTTGTCAGCATTTCTCATTCGTAATTAATTATATTGGGCTTTACCTGACAATAATTTAGCACGGTCTCAAAATGCTGAACAGAAATCAGCTCAGTGTGCACATGGCAAGGGACTGTGTCGCTCTTACGAAACAAAAGTCCCCTTTAAACACAAGCTCACCCCTCTCTGCCCCACGAGCGAGGGCTTTATAGATATCCGTGTCCCATTTCAGGCTTGTCAGACAAACTGCCCAAGCTGAAGCTAAACAAACATCCGCAGAAAAAACTCATTACCTTCCTCAGCTCTCAGAAAACCTGAAACCAAGTGCTTACTCTGTGGGGATGGCCAGAGCTGACTCAGGAAACACGAAGTACTTCCCAGGCTTTAAGCTATCTTAACATTCAGGTCAGATTTCATTTCTCATCACGTAAACCATCTTCACCGCTGCGTGCCAACAGCCCTGTCACGTCGGCCTGCTGCCAGGGCACAGAGGGAGGTGAACATGGCAGCAAACCCGCATCCACAGGGGTTTGGGAATGCTGTGCTGTTGGGCTGACAGGACACCATCACACCATCACACCAAGCACAGGCACCTCTTACAGGCTGAGAGATTTGACAAGGCCAGGAACCAACAGAGAGCGAAACACGCCGCAAGGCTGCTCACAGATCCAGGCCAAGCTGCAGGGCTGCTCGTTCAGCACAGCACAGTGGCTGCAGAAGGCTATGGGTGCCCTGGTGCTGCCTACAGCACCCAGTGCTCCTTCAGAGCCTGACAAGGCCACGTGAGGGCTGGCCCGGCCACAATCACCAACAACACTGGATTTCCTCAACTGTCGCTCCTAGAAAACAACCAAAAATCAACAATGAGAGCACAGTGTCTTCACTCCCTTCTACTTTTCCCCAGTGCTCCCCACGCAGACATTACAGATGGAGGCACAGGCTCCAAGCCCAGAGAAAAATAACCAGAAGCGGGAGGCCTCTGTGCCCACACCGAGCAACTCAGGCCCCAGCAGCACTGGCTGCTGACACCTGGACAGGAACACAGCTCCAGCAGTGGGAGCTGGTTAAAAAGATAATTTTGCTTCAAAGGATGGGAACTTTTATCAGTGTACTCATTACTGGTGTGTTAACAGACACAATGATTCCTGGTGGAACCACAACAGACGTCAGATGCACCTTCTTGTACAGCACCTGTGTCTCCTCACTGTCCATGAGCCTCACAGCCAGGCACTTGGCACAGTTCGGGCTTTTCCAGTCACCCCAACATAAAGCATTCAGGAAAGGTCAGGCAAAATGAAGCCACATGGAAATCCTTGTTCTCATTCACAGCACTCATAAGAGTCCCACACCTCCTGCTGCACAGATGTCCTCATCAGCACAGAGCTCAGTCCCGTGCCCGCAGCCCCTCCTGTGCCAGCCTACCCCTGCACGCAGGTTCAGTTCTCCCAGAGGTGTACACCAGTTCCACCCACTGCTCTTCATAGAGCAGCCAAAACACCCTCTGTCTCAGCACACTCAGCCATGCTAAGCCTGGGGACAAGCTGAAGTCCAACACAAAGCACTAGGGCAATCTGATCATGTGCGGGGCACAAAAGTCCTCCAGAACCTGTGGAAAAGCATCCAAAGAGCCCAAAGCAGATGCAAAGCACGAGGCACACACACACCAGGACGCCTCTCCACAGCACCAGGGCTTCCTGCCTCCAACACGAGTTGACACGCAAACCTGAGCATCCCACCAGCACTGGGACACAGCTCCTATAGCAACCCAACCTCCTCCTCAATGCTGAAACCACAGTGAGCAATTCAGCACACTGCAACTCCTGCCACTGGGCTTCTGCCTGAGACACCTTCATCTCCCTCTGATCCTTGGAAACAACTTCTTCAACACATACACCGAGCTGCAGGGAGAAGCACCTAACAACGATTTTGTGACATTATTTCTCAACGCAGCATGAAATCGTTAGGTCAAAATGTGCCACCTATCACATGAACATTAAAAGTATGTCAAGTCTCAGTGTGCGAGCTATTGTTTTATCTGAACATGATATTAGCTGGCAGAACTGGGTAATGTTTCTGCGCTCCTTTTTAGCGATATGGGATTGCGGTGGGACGGATGCATGCAGGAGCCACTCCTGGCTTTGCAAAAAGAGCAATTAGTCGGAGTTCAAGTGGAAAATAAATAAAAAAATACATAAGTGAAACACAGTCAGGAGATCTTCTAAAACATCCAACCAAGCTCTGACCATAAAACTTGCTCTCCACTTCCCCTCCAAAAACCACGTCGGCCAAATTCTCCGGTCCATATTCCCATAAAACCCCATAACAACACGAACTGGGGCTTTGCTGGGAGGAAAAAACAGGAATTTGTCCAAAACCTCTGCTTGCAAATCCCACTCTTGCTGACAAACACACACCGCTCCCTTGGCTGGAGCATGGCACCCACAGACAGGAGCCCAGGTGGGAAGCAGAGCTGAAGCACTGCCCACACTTCCATCACACCGCCATGGGCTGGGCGCAGGGGTCCAGAGTGCACAACCCTTCCATCACAGCACAGCGAGCTCTTTCCCAGACACCGCTCTGGGTTGATGCAGGTGTAACCAAGGACAAACTCTGGCTCCAAGAAATAAATAATAATTCAGAAAAGAACAAAGAGAAAAGAAAACCACACCAGAAAATGCCAGCAAGCCTTCCTGGCTAAATATTGAAACAGCTTCAGAGCAACACACATTTTTTTGTTAAACAATCAGCTTCATCTTCGCATTTATTTTGACAGTTCATAATTGTTCCAGTTGTGATTCCAGAGCACATAAACCCAAATCAATCCGCCTTTCACCGCACAAACTTCTCCCAGGCAGAAGTTCCGCACAACAAAGCCCTTCACCCCGCCGCACCCCCGGGCTGCCCACGGTGGCCGGGGCCGGGCAGGCCGAGACCGGGCGCTGCCCCTCCGCGGGGAAGCACCGACCCGCCGGTGACAGGCCGGACACGAGGGGGAGGAGAAGGTGGGGGGAGGGGGGGTACGCCCCGGGACACCCGGAGAGAAAAGTTTGAACGGGGAACGAAGCGGGGGGGAGGGGGGGGGAGCCCCGATCCGCCGCCTCAGCCTCCGCCGGGAGCGGCCGCCGCGCTGCAGGTGTCCGCGGGGGGCGGGCGGGGAGCGGGCAGCGCGGAGCCCCGATGCCGGAGTGGAGGCGATGGGGGAGGAGGGGGGGGAAGGAGGCGGCGGGGGAACGGACCTCGGCCCGGGGGAGCGGGCGGGGGCCGCGGCGGCGGAGGCGACGGCGGCGGCGTCGGGGCGGGGGCCCCCCCGCGGCTGCCCCCGCACACAATGAGGCGCACACAAAGCGGCGCCGCTCCTACCTCCAGCGCCTCGAAAGTGACGAAGCTGGACATCGCGAAACCGTCGATAATGTCCTCTTCGGCCGAGGACGACTCCCGCCGCTTCCTCCGGGGGGGCCGCGGCCGGGACGGCGGTGGGGGCCCATTGTCTTCCTTCTCGGAGCCCGAGGAGGAGAGCGCCGGGGCGGCCCCGGGGCCGGGAGCCCCTCCGGCGGCAGCGCCGCGCCGCCCGCCCTGGGCTCGCCGCTCCCGGTCGCGCTGGGACCGCGATCGCCGCTTCTTCCGAAGCCCGTTGCATCGCGCCGGGCCATCCATGTCTCTCGGCGGCTCTCCCTCTCGCTCTCGTCCCCCCCCGCCCCACCGCGGGCACAAATCCGGCTCTCCCCCGGCGGAATAACGGGGGAGGGAGGGAGGGAGCGAGGGAAGGAGGGAGGAGAGGGCGGAAAGGGGGTGGGGGGGGATGAAAGAATCCGAGCGCGGTTCCACCACCACCAGCGGCAAAGCACCAAATGTAAGAGATTCCTACGAGCGAGCCAAGGAAAGTAATGGCTGATCTCAGGTCGCCTTTGTAAAAAAAAAAAAAATAAAATAAAAAAAAAAATGCAGCGAGAAAAAAAAAAAAAAAAAAAGCGAAAAAAAAAAAAAAAAAGCAGCCTCACCGAGCAGGCAATAAATCAGAATAGCGGAATGCTTTGATCGGGGCTGGGAGGGCGCGGATCGCCGAAAGAGGGGAAAAAAGCAGAAAAGAGGGGAGGGGGGAAGAAATAAAGAAAGGAGAGACCCGCTGGAAGGAGGGAGCTGAGAGTATTTCCTTGCACAAAATTTATTTCCTTTCTTCCTTTCCTTCCCCAACTAAAAGAAGTTCCAAGGAGGGGGTGGGTGGGGAAAATAATAAAAATATTTTTTAAAAATAATAAATAAATCTGCGGGTGCGCGGCGCTGCGCGGGGGTGCGGCCGCCCCCGCTCCGCTCTTTATCTCCGCTCGCACAATGATCGCGGCGTCCAGATGCGATGTTCTCAAGGCACCGACCGGGGAGGGACGCGGAACTGGGAACCCGGCCCGGCCCCTCCGAACCCAGAACCAAACAATAAAAAAGAGAGGTGGGGGGAAATAAGAGAAAAAGCAGCAAAACACGCCCACCCACCCCGGCTATTAATACGGATCAATCACGGTAAATTCATCGGATTAATTGTGGAGGAGAAGGGGACGGGGGAGAGAAGGAAAGGAGGGGGGCTGGTGACAATAAATCCGAGCGGAGAGGCGGCGGCCCCCTCCCCAAAAATAACCACGAGAAGCAGAAGAATAGGAAGAAAAAAAAAAAAAAAAAAAAAAAAAGGAAAAAAAAAATAACAGAGGTGCTGATGAGGCTCAAATACGCTCCAGCGGGGACGGCACCAGCGGGGTTGTGCTTTCCGCCGCCGCCCTCGCCTCGCCCCGGCTGCGGGCCCCCCCGGCCCGGCGGAGGCAGCAGCCGCCGGGAGCCGCACGGCCGCGCACGGCGCGGGGCGGATGGCAGTGGTGGCCCCCAGCGGCCGCCCGGCCCCGCGCCCGCGCCGGTCACGTGGCGTCGCCGCCGCCCCGCCCGCTTCCCCTCTCCACCGCTCGGCGCCGCGTGAAATGCAGCGCCCCGGCCGCGCGAAATAAGTTGCGGGCATGCGCGCAGGGCCTGCGCACTCGGCGGCGGGAGGGTGGGCGGCTCGCGGTCCCCGCTCCCTCTCTTCCCGCCGCGGCCCCTCTCCTCGCGGTTGCTCGTTTCCCGCCCTGCCGCCCCGCAGCCTTCCCCGAGCCCTGCTCATCTCTTACCGCCAACTTTCTCCTCAGTTTGTGCTGTCCCGTCGTCTTCTGGCCTCGCTCTGCCTTTCCCACCTGTACGTCAGGTGCTCGCCCGTCAGGGTTGGGTGCTGTGCCTGTCCCTTCTAGCCTTGTGCTTCCAGGGCTGCCCGCAGCTCAAGGTTCTGCTTGTCACCAAAATCCAGGAACAAAGCTTTTGAATTAAAGGTTGCGTTTCATGGTGGCTTTCATGCCACACCACAAGGACAGCATCTACTTGTGCCTTCTTCTGGGGCAGTGCTCCGACATGGCCTCTGCACTGCTGTGCTGGCCCTCAGACCCACAGCCCCTTCTGTCCCACAGCCCTGTACTGCCCACCTCCTCTCAGGGTTTGAAAGGATTGCAGGTCCAATAAACCGAGCTTGTTGTGGTTGCCCTTCCCACCTGCTGCTTCTCTGCCTCCTGTCCAGAGCAGTGGGCTGAGAGAAAAGAGCAGAGGGAGGAAAGTGTGTACAGCTCTCAGGTCTGACCCTGAGAGCAGGGACACAAGGGGGATTGGAGGGGCATTGGATTGTGACAAGTGAGGGAATGGTGTGAAGCTGTGACGGGGGTGCGGAAAAAGGTTCTGCACCACAGGGTGGTTAAGCAGTGGAACAGGCTCTCCAGGGAAGTGGTCATGGCACCAAACTCACTCGAGTTCAGGGAGCATTTGGGCAGCGTTCTCAGACGTCAGGTTTGGGTTTTAGGTGGCCCTGTATGGAGCCAGGAGTTGGTCTAAATCATCCCTCCAGTACTTGAAGGGAGTATATAAACAGGAAGGGGAGCGGCTGTCTATGAGAGTGGATAGTGATAGGACAAGGGGGAACGGTCTTAAACTGAGACAGGAGAGGTTTAGGTTGGATATTGGGAGGAAGTTTTTCACACAGAAGGTGGTGAGGCACTGGAACAGATTGCCCAAGGAGGCTGTGGATGCCCCATCCCTGGAGCCATTCAGAGCCAGGCTGGATGTGGCTCTGGGCAACCTGATCTGGTTGGTGACCCTGCACGTAGCCGGGGGTTGAAACTAGGTGGTCATTGTAGTCCTTTTGAACCCAGGCCATTCTAAGATTCTGTGATCTTTATGGATTATTCTGACTCAAGGTATTCTGGTTTTGTGACCTGGGAGGATCAGGACGTTTGCTAGGAAAGGAAAAGAATAAACGAGCAAGGAACAGCAAGCAGGAGCAACATGAGAAGAACCGATCTGGTGTGTGCTTCAGACAGGGGAGAGGCTCAGAAAGCACGGCTTTTGTTTCCTTCTCTCCATGAGATCAGCAGGCTGATGTTGCAGTTTGGAGAATAAAGGTGGGGAAAAACTGAGAAAGGGAAATTATTTAATAATCCATCTCTACAAGAAGCTTGTCAGGGGCTGCTCAGTCTGCCTCTTGCTGCCTGCTGTAGGTGCTAATCATTCCTCTGCGGAGATATCCAGAAGGGCCACAAAGAGCAACACATGGGCTGGGAGCTTCACTGAGTGTTTTTCCAGCAGTCTCCCTCTGGGCTGCTCTGACTCTCAAGGGATGATGCTGTGCTCGATTGCATAATGTGTTGTTTACTTTGTTCCCAAACACTTAAGCCACTCTGATCAAGCAATATTCTTAATATGTTTTAATAAGAGTATTAACCCATTGCATGAAGTAATGGGAATCAGATATAGTTTCTCTTTCCAGAAGGCAAAAGACATCTTTGCCACCTCTTTCCACACATTGACCATGTGCTATGCAGTGACTTTTAAGCTGCTGCATATGGGTGTGAACCAGAAAGAAGTACAAAGCCATCGGTAATCTGATCACGTAGGAGTGTGTACCTTACAGAAGGCCACACTGCTCACTGCAGAGGCACATGGCTAGTTTTTAAACATTCTCAAATATCGAGCTGGAGAACATCACCTCCTAGATCTGACCCTAGATCTCTCTATTCAGATTTCTTTCTATTCAACAGCTACATTTCCCTACCTCGCTTCGGGTTCTTCTGTCTCACTTGTAGTTGCCTGCCAGATCTATATAATCTGACTATATAGAAGCTGTACAGGTATTGTTAAAGTGAAACAATTTGTTTATACAGGCAAGCTCAAATATTACAAGGTCTCTGTCTTCTGAGAAATATTGAGCTGTACTGTATCAAACAACTGTTACCTGTTGGGCTTTTTGGAAAATAACTATGCAATTTTCAGGGCAGTGTAATTGATTATAGTTTCCTGCACATCCATCACCATTAAAGTGACTTAAGAGACCTGTAGTCGGATGTGTTTCTGCTGACATTCATTGCACGGCTGAAAGTCTGCTCAGTCTGTTTTCTTTCTGAATGCACGTATGGAAAACAGAAACGATATGCGATTTATTTTACATTCTTTGTAGAAACAAATCCTTAGATTTGCATGTCTGCTGAAAAAAAAAAACAAAAACAAAAAAAAGATGAAAAGCAATCCATCTAACTCATCCTCCAGTGCAGAACTTTTTTCTTCTGAGAAACATCAAACATTAAAAAACGCTGGTCACCTTCATTGCATGGGCAAATTATCCTTTTTTTTCTGGATCTGATCTAACATCAGCAGGAGCGTTTCCATCAACCTTAATTGATTCGGGAGAGAGGGCAAGTAGACCTTATTATTACACAAAACCTCAGACAGATGCTCAGGAAGGTCTCTCTCCAGTGTGCTCTTGCGTCCAGCTGAGCATTTCAAGTGATCTTACCAGCAATGATGCTGCACACCTCCATGCACATTTGTTCTTAGGCTGCCTGTAAGCTTTTCCTCTAGAAATACGTCTTGCCTGGCATCTGGCATGAGAAAACAGCTTTGTGTGTCTTGCAAGCTGAAGGCAGTACCTTGCTGAGTCACGATTTTTGAGGTTAACGACCAGTGTATTCAACTGGGTATTTGTAGCTGTTAGGTTAACACCCTCAGAAAGGGCACTGGTTGAATGTGCACTAACAGATCTATAATCTTCTGATCTGAGGCAGACACCAAAAACTTCATGGTCTTTTTGCTACTGAACAATGAAGAAAGAAATGTTAATACAAACCAAAAGCAACAGTTGCAATTTCTACATCGCCATTGTGAACTGGAGCAAAATAAAATCTGCACTAATAACACTAAAAGGGGTTTTGTCAGGACTAGCCGCTGGCATGCCTATCTGAGAAGGGTATTTTGAAATAACATGAAAATCAGGAGGTAATTTGTTGCTTGAGGAAATGGCAAGAACTTTGCTTCTAGCAAGAGTAATTTGCACTCTGCTTTGGTATTAAGATTTAGAGATTTAAAACAGCGGAGGCAAATACATTTTTCTGGGGATAGCATCTTTTAGGAGACGGGTAGTCTGAAGTAGCAGAATGCATGCCGTGTCGATGGTGACTTATTTTGGGAGTTTGATCTGGGAATGCACAAAAAAAAAAAAAAAAAAGAAAAGAAAAGAAAAGAGAAATAAGGGGAAAAAAGGCATTTTGTTATTGTTTGAACCCTGCTCTCACAGTGCATTTATGAGAATAAGAAATAATGAGAACCAAAGCTGCAGTACAAAATAAAAGCCAGGGTGGTTGTGTGGATGGCAGAGGAATGGGAAACAGTT